CAGCAAACTTGCTGACAATGCACTCTATTCAGGTCCATAACAATTTTCCAACCAAGGCACAACTGACAATACTCCTATTTTCAGCCCACAAACAGCAGCAAAGTGCCATCGATCACTTTCTGTGGATCCCATAGTATGGGTTGGAAACTATTATAATGCCAAAACCAAGTGCCGCTTAAAACAGTGGAAATAAAAGCAGAATAAATAGTTCTAACACTTAGTAGTAACACATTAAAAAGCTCCTTCACCACAAAAACAAGCATTAGTCATTATAATTTACATTAGATAGTAACTTAAAGTATAAAAACTACCTAAAAAAATCTGTTATGTCCAATAATATGAAATTTTTATTGCCTAAAATGTACTTCAGCATCAAATACACTTGAGCAAAGATCAACACACACATTCTGTATTTTAACACAAACATTGTACAGGTAACATTTAGGACACGATAATATAATAAAAAGTAATAAAATATTCCACCTCTACAAAGCAGAAATAGTCACATAAAAAGAGAATATTTGGCCAAAATAAAACCTTTACTGCTTTGAGAATTTATAAAATTATCTTTAAAGAAGTTTGCATGAAGCTTGATTTTGAATGGTTCCCATGAAATACGGGACAAGAAACCTGTATCTGCATTTTAATCTGCTATTATATCTGTCCAGATTTAATGTTAGAAACAAAATCTTCTTTTACCTAAATGTTAGGAATTTGTTTTAAATCTAAGAATCAACTCAGTTAATTTGATTGCATTTATTAGCACCTCCCTCATCTATCACGTGTAGGACAGAGATGTGAAAAATAAAGAAAAGCTATGCAAATACATATATAAATTCAGTATGTCATTTGGGTGACCCTTCCAAATTTCATATGGACTGGAAAAAGCATAGCCATGATTTACAAAAATGAAACAGCTCAGGTTTTTGTTTGTTAGGTGTGATGATCTTTTATTTGGAATTATTTTACATTTCTCACATGTTTACAAGAAGCCTCCTACTAACCTACCATCTGTACACTTTTTTCCAGTTCCTGAGGAATTGCAAATGTAGAAGAAGGAGCCTGAGTTAGAGGCCACGCACCAGCCTAAAAGTATCGGGAAAAATAAAAGCATTAACATTTTCAATCAACATACACATTAAGAAAAAATAACACTATTAAACAGATCTATAGTGTATATTATGCCATAAGACATTCAATTTACACCAGAAATTTTACTGCTCATTTTTTACTGCTCATTATGCATGCCCCACTGAGGTATTAATTAAAGACGAGAACACAAGGCATTTTACATCACTATTGTTTAGCCTTAAAACCAAACACTAGGAAAAAGAATTATTCCAAAATGGACACAAGGTGTCAGTTACCATATGAGAAGTATTCATAGTTGGAAAAATTGTTCACTTTTTATCAAACCATAAAAATTAATTACAAATAACTCAATAGTAATAAACATACATTAGTACCTGTAGAACATATATCTGAAAACTAATTCCCAAATCTATAATCGTGTCCTGGTTTTTGATAAAGTTGTTGAATTTGTTGTTGAGATCAGCACTAACACTCATGTCTGTATACATTCGATGGAGCTTGCTGGTAAATTCATAACCACAGGCTTGCTGTGAAGAAATATTGTAAGAGGTTCCACAATGAAAACAGTAGTTGTTATATAAATTACACACATTCTCTACTAAAATATGAAAACCTAATCAGCAGAAGTGTTGTTATAATATTTACAGAGAATAGTAGTTACAACAGAAAACAAACATTATAAAAGAAAATTGTAAGATTTATCTTAGCTTCACTTTCTATACATTGATTTATACAAACAATGTTATTTTAAAAAATTGAAAGATAGAGCTAGTTTGTGAAAGTCCTTGGTACTTTTTAAATGTAAATATGAATTATTTGAACACATTTAATAAAACTACCCAAAAGCTTATAAAAATCTCAAATGCTTAGGTGATACTTGGCCATACATCATTCATAGACTACCAAGAAATTAGTTTTTGCTTTCAGCTATGGGAAACAGGATCTAATGATCACTAAGTTATCTCTGGCACCCTCTGCTGCTCCCTCTCAGCATTTCATACTCCTATGTTTATTCTGCATTAGAAGAATATTACATTACCTTTAATTTATTAATCATGGCTTCTTCAGAATCCATAGACATAGACAAACCATGAATTAATCTTTTTGCCAACATTCTGGCGTAGAACTGCATAAAAAAATCAGATATGAGGATTTTTAAAAGCATAACCGCATTCTTCAAGTATACTTTAAATATAACATTTTAATATTTATTGAATATCAAAAGTTACCTTTTGGAATACATCTTTGTCATCAATGTATTTGAAAACAGTAATGAAACTTGTAAGTTTGTCTTCTACTTCATTCTCCGTCATTCCTTTTGCTGATTTCTTCAACAAGTTGTCACAGTACTTGGCCAGCTCAAGTTAAAAAAAGAAAAAACAAACCCAAACCTACTTGTCAAGCTTGAGAACAAATGTATGCCAAGGTATTCCAAACTTCTACACAAAAGTTAAAGCATGAAATAAGTCACAGTCTACAGTCTCATGCTCTAACACAAGGGCTGGATTCATAGGTAAATGATACATACTACACCCACAGAAAACACTAATTCTAGAGGAAAACTTACAACTGCGCCAATTTTGCACACCCACAAAATGTGTGTGCTGATTAAGTTATTTATTACTACTGAAACACACATCTGAGTCTGATTCACTGTGAGAAACAGATATTGATGTGACAGACTCTATGCCAAGTCATTTGACAGTTATAAAAAAGGATTATTACTTTCCACAATAATATATATCACTTACCAACTCAGGTGCTTTACAGATCGACTTGGGCTCCCTATAGTTAACTACTGATGTCAAAGCCTACATGGAAACATAGAGCAAAGAGAAAAAAGACAAATTAACTTGAAACCTTTTCTTTTATGAAACTTGAAGAAATAAAAAAATGTTCAAGGCAAAGACTATCCGAGACCCTAAAAACTGAACTACACAAAAGAGGATCAAAAAAGAAACAATGAATAAAAGGTTTTGAATTACTGCCCTGTAAAAATTTATGTGTTGAAAATTTTTAAGTTGAGATTTAAGTAAAAGTGGAAAGAGTAGAGAAACAGAACTGCAGAAAGCAGGACAACAAATTAAGTTCTGATTAGAAACCCGAATGTAAAATTATGAAGATTTTTGCATACAGCAGTAAGAATGGTCCAAAAGTATGGACGGAAAGAAACTGAGGAATAATTGCAGATAAAGCAGATTTGAACAGCAGCACATCAACAGAAGCTTGCATCAATAGCACGTATCCTGAGCTGAAAAACATACACGGTGTGCCTACAACAGTAAGAAAGGAGAGGTCTCTTGGTTGTTTTGATAGACTAAAGGGGAGAAAAAATGTTTTTTGAAAGCGGAAATTCAAAGCAGTGAAGTACAAACAAAATACAGCAGTTGAAGAAAACCTGAATATGATGAAGCAGAAAAGGAAGGTGATAATGGCAGTTTAGAACTGGAAATTGTAAACAAAGATATCAGAATCAAGATTAGTTTTTAAACTACATTTCACATTTAAGTTAACATTTTAAACCAATACTGAACCAAAAATACTGCATGATCATACCATGCCTCAACATTCCAATATTTGATAACAGGTTCCTAGAATCCCTGTGAGAAAGGAATGCATGACTTGACAAGAAATATTAAACTCTCTGAAACTTAGAGCACTCTTTGCAATAACACTGGAGGTAACAATAGCAGTTTTGATATCCACCATGAAAAACTGAAAGCAAATTAAGATTTTAAATATTTAATGTAACAAAGATCACTGAAGTGAAAAAAAATATGTATATAAGGAAAAAGTACATTGCCTATGTGCCAGCAAATGTAGTTCTCAATCTCATATTACTCCATCTTCTGGCCCATGACATGAATTGCAATTGAGACAGAAATGTATTAGGGTACTGAAATAAGTATTTGTTTTAAAATACTGAAAAATTATTTTCTCAATATCACAAATAAAGATAGGTAACCAGTATTGATATTATTACTGCTGTCTTCATCATTATGGCTTTCCAGATTAACCTCAGCTGAAAATTAGACTCTGACCCTAACTACAAACTGTAATTACTGTAAACACCACAAAAGAGCAATGAAATGTATGCATGCATCCTATGACAGGAAACTATAGATAGGAAAGTAGTTAAGTGCACTC